ATGACTTCATCTGATTCAAAAGTTATATCAAACTCAGTCTTGCTGTTAGTCTGTTCATGATGTTACAGTCTGCGCTCTTACTTGGTTCATTCTCGCCCCGTTTTGCCTATTCTGTACTGAAGTTGACGACGATAATTTTTTTTGTTCTAGGCTCGTGAACATCCGGACATCCGCGAGCGTTTGGATTCGACCATCAGACGTAAGGCAGAACTCGAGAACTTAGCTCAACTCCGAAAGCAACGTCTTATTGACGCCCTTTCGCTTTACAAGCTCTATGCCGATGCAGACTCGGTTGAAGCTTGGATTGATGAGAAGGTAAGGCGAAAATGTGGAAGTCTTCTCAAATGTCAACATATGATTTTCCAGGGAAAACTGCTCGCTACGCTGGTTCCAGGAAAAGACCTTGAGGAAGTTGAGATCATGAAACATCGGTTCGAGACCCTTGAGCAAGACATGAAGAATCAGGAGGCGAAGGTTTGTAAGATCAAAGAAATTTCTATACTTTCCTCTTTATGGTTTTTGTTTGTAGGTTGGCACCGTCAACGAACTTGCCCGCCAGCTGCTCCATGTAGAACATCCCAACTCTGACGACATCCTTCAACGACAGAACAAACTCAACGCTCGTTGGGCTCAACTTCGTGATATGGTCGACCAAAAGAGAGCTGAACTCGACCGTGCTCACCGTCTCGAGACCTTCAGGTACGATTCTGTTAATCTCTGTCTACTTTTCCTTGAAAATTCTTTGCGTTTGCAGAATCGACTGCCAAGAAACTGTCACCTGGATTGAGGACAAGACTCGTGTGCTTGAGGACTCTGATGCTCTTACCAATGATCTCAGCGGAGTTATGAAACTCCAAAGGAGGTGGGTAGATATCTTACTTCGTGTATTTTTGGTCTGATTTTTTTTAAATTCAGGCTTTCAATGATGGAACGTGATCTCGGCGCCATCCAAGCCAAGCTAGATGCTCTCCATAAGGAAGCGGATTCCATCGAGCGCGAGCGTCCTCAAGAAGCTCAAGCGATCCGTGAGGATATCAAGCGAATCCATCATGTAAGATCAGCTTTTACTCTGAATAGGTTTAATCAGAAAAT